AAAAAAAAAAAAACACTTTGTAATCACAAAATATGATAATGGAAATAATCTAAGTATTAAATATAAATAAATCTGATCACCTTCCACTTAAGGGACAACCCTCGACTCTCTGAAAGTTTGTATCCCTCATTTTTGGGCGAATACGAGGGACACGTTCATATGGCCAAACCTACACATATCGACGTATTCATTTATTATTAGATATTAGTCTAAATTAGAATAAAAAAAAAATTCAAATAACAAGTAAATAAATTTACCTAAATCAATTGGACACAGTTCTTGATCCACTTTTCCCCGGCCTTGTAGCTCGTGCAGAGCGCTCTATACACTCAGGCCAGGACCGCCGAACTCCAGTTGTACGTGTTGATCCTTTCGATGTCGTACAAATGCTGCAACCAATACAGGTTCACTCCATTGGCCCTCTGGTCGGGGAAGAAGAAGGAACCGATGCACCAGAGTATAAGGGCCCTCGCCCTCTGTTCGAAGTCACTGGTGTGGTCTCCATCGGTTAGTTCTCTGTTGCACTCCGCTTCTAAAGCATAGGTCCTCAACCACTGGCCTGTAATGGCCCAAGTCTTGGGGTCTCGTTGCGGGTCGTCGGCCTCCTGAGAGTGTTTTATATATATTAAAAATTAATGAATGGAGTAAACATAAATAAAATTAAAAAAAAAATTGTAGAAAAAATTTACCTGGACATAGGGCTCGAACCCTAGATAATCATTGCAAATTTCTTGCCAGTCTTGGGGTGTGCGATCTTCAGTCGTTCCCCAACAAGGCTCTCCATTGATCGGGAGACCAAAAAGGACTTGTACGTCCTGCAGCGTGATCATGGCCTCCCCGAAGTCAAAGTGGAAGGTATGCATCTCCGGTCGCCACCTTTCCACCAGACATGTGATGAGGTTGTTGTCGGTCATAAGTCTGTCCATTCGAAACAGCGGGCCAAAACCCGTTCTGTCGATGACCTCCCAAACTCTGGGATGCTGGTGCTCCAACGCCTTCCAAAACTCAGTGTCGAAACGGCGGGGTTTAACGACGTCGTCACGACATCCGTCTATATCTTCGAATACCACACTCACCCGGTGGCGGTACTGAAGATATAGAACGGACGCATCCCTCGGACCGGGATTTACATTGTAGCGCTGCGGTTGTGAAGACGACGAGGATGCCATTTTTT